GACTGGCTTGGGGGGAGGGGAGTCCCCAGCTCCAGCTTGCTCTGGCCCTCCAGTCTCACAGGGTGGGGATGGTAGAATCTGAGAAACACCAGTAAAGGTCACAGGTCACACACAAGCTCACCAATAGCCTGAGAGCACGTCTCCACCCTGGTCACCTCACCGCCACTTCACTGAAGGCCTATTGACAGCCGTTCCTTTTACCCCACATAGCACATTAAGTTTCAACAAGCCAACGTTTAAGGCACACTGAAGGCCCCAAACCACCACTGGACCAGAACCCGAGGCAGATACCGCAGGAATGTGGGCATTATCATGCTGGGAACTGAAAATCCCTGTGATTAGAATGCTGAGGTATGGGGGAGAAAAAGCAGACGCTAGGCAGGAAGCTCCCAGTGAGGGACGATGGGACAGAAAGTTTAGTTTTAGCTGCACAGCCATGTACCCTATTGACCTTTGGGCATCTGATTTCTAGGAGGGAGATTTCGAGGACAGGAGCTGCAGGATAGTTCATATCTCTCTAACAGTTTCTTTCACCACTTTTGAAAATTCCCAGCCATTTACTTTTGAGAGATTGCTAAATCCCAATTGTCTTTAACTGCATTTTTTTTTTTTTTTGGTCCAGTCGTGGGTCTTGAACTCTGGGCCTGGGTGCTGTCCCTCAGCTCTTCAGCTCAAGGCTAGCGCTCTACCATTTGAGCCACAGCGCCACTTCGGCTTTTTTCTTTTTGCTTATGTGGTGCTGAAGAATCGAACCCAGGGCCTCAGGCATGCAAGGCAAACGCTCTATCACTGAGCCACCTTCCCAGCCCTAACTGCATAATTTCTAGAAGTCTATGTGGTCCTCTTTTCAAGATTACCTGGTCAGTTTATAATCTCTTGTTCTTTTGTAATACTTTAAATAGTTCCTTCTATTTCATTAAGCATATTAATCATACTTATTTTATGTTCACTTTCTAATTTCCCATGTAGTTTCTGTGTTTCTTGACATTTTCTGTGTTTTTCATTATGTATTTTACAATTTGCTGTAGGAATTCTTTGAGGCCTGGATTTAAACAACACCCCTTCACCGCAGATTTGGGCTTATTTCTGCTAGGCACTCTAGGACCAGTCTACTTTTGGGCCATTCATTGAGAATGTTTGCAGTTCTGGGAGTTGAGCACAGAGTCTTGCATATGCTAGGGAAGCACTTTATTTGTTTTTTTTTTGTTTGTTTTTTTGGTTTTTTTGTTGGTCATGGGGCCTGAACTCTGGGCCTGAACACTGTCCCTCAGCTCTTCAGCTCAAGGCTAGTGCTCTACCACTTGAGCCACAGCACCACTTCCTGGCAAGTACTTTAGACAGAGCTGCATCTCTAGCACTTCATTAATAACTTCAAAACATTTGTTATTTATTCTTATAGTACTGGGTTTCTTGAACCCAGGGACTTATACTTGTTGGGTTGATGCTCTCCCACTCAAGCCATGCTGCCAGCCCTTTTTTTTGCCAGTCCTGGGGCTTGAACTCAGGGCCTGGGCACTGTCCCTAAACTTTTGCTCAAGGCTAGCATTCTACCACTTGAGCCACAACATCACTTCCGGCTTTTTCTGTTTATGTGCTCCTGAGGAATCGAACCCAGGACTTCTTCGCATGCCAGGCAAGCACTCTACCACTAAGCCACATTCCCAGCCCAGCTAGCCCTTTCTGGTTTTGCTATTTTTCTTTTTTTTTTTGGGTCCGGTTGTGGGGCCTGAACTCTGGGCCTGGGCGCTGTCCCTAAGCTCTTCAGCTCAAGGCTAGTGCTCTACCACTTGAGCCATAGCGCCACTTCCGGCTTTTTTTCTTTTTGCTTATATGGTGCTGAGGAATCGAACCCAGGGCCTCAGGCATGCAAGGCAAGCGCTCTACCACTGAGCCAACTTCCCAGCCCCTTTGCTATTTTTCTTTTTCTTTCTTTCCTTTTTTTTTTGTCGGTCGTGGGGCTTGAACTCTGGGCTTGGGCGCTGTCCCTCAGCTCTTCAGCTCAAGGCGAGTGCTCTAGCACTTGAGCCACAGCGCCACTTCCGGTTTTCTGGTGGTTTATTGGAGATAAGAGTCTCATGGACTTTCCTTGCTCGGGCTGGCTTTGAACCACAATCCTCAGATCTCAGCCTCCTTAGTAGCTAGGATTACAAGTGTGAGCCACCGGCGCCTGGCTTATTTTTCTATTTTTTATGTGTGCCAGTTCTGCGGCTTGAACTCATGGCTTGGGCACTATCCTTTAACTTTGTTTAGCTTAAGGCTGGTGCTCTACCATTTGAGTCACAGCTCAACTTCTGGCTTTTGGGTGATTAATAGGAAATAAGAATCTCATGGACTTTCCTGCCCCAGTTGGCTTCAAACTGGGATCCTCAGATCTCAGCCCCCCGAGTAGCTAAGATTATAGATGTAAGCCACTGGTTCCTAGAAGCGTCTCACTTTTATGCTCTAGCTGGCCACTAGTTTATGCCTAGACCATGCTAACATTCAGCATGTAGCAATATATTCTCCGGAGGTGACATTTTTCTTTCACTCCTCTTCCACCTAAATCCAAGGTCGAGATAAACATGCATCTTTGCCTCTTTCTTCAGAGGGGGAGGGTATGTTTTCAAGGTCACCTATTTTATTTGCTTTCTGTGGCCGTTGTCACAAATCACCACAAGTCCCAGTGCTTAAAACAACACAATTTCTTTCTCTTAAGAGTCTTAGAGGTCAGAGATCTAAAATAGATTTCACTGGACTAAAATCAAAGCGTGGGAGGGGTACATTCCTGGTGGAGACACCTGGCTCCCTGTGCTTTTTTTCTGGACTAAAGAGCTGGCACAGTTTATCATCTTAGGGCCTTTCTTTTTATTTATTTGTTTATTTACCAGCTCCTCCATTTGTCAATCTGTTTTAGATTTCCTCCAGTTTTCAGGGTTTCTGAATGGAGAGGGCTGCTTGGACCATTGGTCCGCATTGCTCAGAAGTCATTTGGATCTTGGATGTCCGCAAAGGCTGGAAGGTGGAGCCTCATGGGGGGGGCGGGGAATCTGTATTTAGGTCATGCTCCTGAGGGGGGTGGGGAGACCCTAGCCCCTGCTCTTCCTCTCTTTTCCTTTTTGGTCATGAAATGGCCAGTTTGCTCTGCCTCACCACAGGACTGTGTAACCTGGGTCCAAAGCAGTATGGCCAACCTATCACGGACTGGGCTGGGAAGGTGGCTCAGTGGAACTTTGGAAACTAGAATGAGCCCAAACCAGCCCCCTCTCCCGAGAAGCTGATTATCTCCTACATTGTAGGAGCAATGGGAGCTGACTCATATAACACAGTCTCTGCTGCACAGTCACCTGCACTCCCGCCCCCCCAGCTTCCCTTCCACTGCAGCTCCTTGTTGGAAACCACGCTTCCCGCTCATATTCCCCGCCATGGTGTGGTGAGGGCACAGGTGATGTCCGTAGTGGGGGACAGGTGTAGGTTCCACCGGTCACTTCAGATGAACCCAAGAATCTCCCGGAATCTCCCTTGTCCCTCTTTGGGTCTTTGCAGCCCATTCTCCACTCTGTGGGGTGGAAGGAAAAGAAGGATACCCTTCTACCAAGGGGCTCCCACCCTGCTCAGGTCCCTCCAAGAGTGCCTCCTGGTGGGCTTGGGTCCCATTCACCTCATGCCTTAAGGGCACTTGCCAAACTTTGGGGCTGATTTTGTTGTGTGCGGCACTGGACGCATTCCAGTGGAACCTGCTCATTCACCCTTGTCTTCCTCCAAGGCTGGAAAGTCAGCTGCGAGCAAGTAGGCGCACGTGCGCTCACTGCTGTGTCCTGCTTCTGGTCGCCGGTGGGTGTGGCAGAGTAGGGGCTTGAATGGTGGGGAGGAAAGGGTGGCTGGGAGGTTGGTCTAACACAGATGAGAAATAATGACATGAGTGGAGTGGTGCTGGAGTCCCTGGTCAGCCCAGAACGTTCCTCCTTTCTGTCCACGCAGGAAGGCAGACAGGGGCTCCCTCCCCAAAGAGCTCTAGAAGTAGCACACTACTCTGTTCAGTATCTTAAATAAACCATTTATTCAGGAGGAACAATCGAAGAAAGCAATCATGACGTGGATTACAAAACAAAGAAGCACAGCCCCTCCTCCAGGTTCAAGAGTGGCGTGGTCCTGCCCCAGGCCGGGTGTGTAAGTGGGCAAATGTGCATGTGTGAACGTGAACGCGCACACATGCACGCGGCCCACAGGGGTGTGGACTGGAATGAATGACCGTGTGTGTCTGTAGCTTGGCCCCTTCCCTGCCCCCCAAACCAACAGCGGCTGTGAGACCCGCAGCAGCAAAATTGAGGCCTTCATCATTCCTGCCCTTCCCCCCGCTCTCGCTCCGAGACCCCATCTCCTCCGGTGGCAGTCTGACCACCCTCAGTCACAAAGAGCCCCAGTGATCCTGTCAAGACATCTGGGGGAGGAGGAAAGAAACAGTCAGGGCGCCAGATGTGCAGCCAGGAACCCGCCCATTGGCTTCCAGGCCCAGGCCTTCTCCCGTGGCACTGCCCAGAAAGCAGCCACCCAGAGAGATTGCGCAGCCATTGCGGGTCTGGACCCACGGGCGCTGGGAGGCCCCACGCGGAGAGCTCCGAGCCCTTGTTGGAAAAGCAGAAAAGGTGACTGTGCTGGTGGAAGTGGCCGTTTGGGGTCAGGGAAGGGGCTGAGAGCAGGTTCCTGCGGAGGGGGGGAGAGCAGGGAGGCCCAGGGCCCAGTGTACAGGCAGCCACCTAGAAGGATCGTTCAAAGAGGGACCCCCCCACCCACCCCCCAAAAAAGAAAGTAACAGTCGCAGAAGAGGCAAGTTCTGGAACATGGTCCCGCCAGAGCGGGGCAGGTCAGGCCGGCGGCCCCGGACTGGCCCATAGGCACATTTAAAAGGATTCCCACAGCTGTCCCGAGTGCGCAGGGCAGGTCTCTGCTGCTGTTCCTGCCTTGCTCCCCCTCCCCCCACCCCGTGAGGTATTGAGCTTCCCTCCCCCCCTCCCCCTGCTTATGACTGAGTTCCCTCCCCTCCCCAACCACATGGGTGGTCAGAGCACCTACTGGGTGTGGGGGTGTGGGACCAGCCGCTTGGCCTGCGGAGCCTTATGTAGGGTCGAGCTCAAATACCCCATCGCTGGTGGGGGTGGTGAAGAAGGAGGGTGGGTCCGAGGCAGTGGACTCCTGCCCCCCACTCCCCTGGCCCCGGGCACGCCTCTCCTCCAGCTGCAGGCTGCGCTCGAAGTCAAGCAGCTGCCCCATGAAGTTGAAGTTGGGGGAGATGTTAGACTTCTTCCTCTTGACCAGGTCATAGGCGTCGTTGAGTGACAGGTGGAGCTTCTGCATGAGGTAGGCCACGGTGACCGTGACAGAGCGGCTGACCCCCGCAAGGCAGTGCACGAGCACCCCGCAGTTCTGAGACAAGGCCTCATCTAGGTGGGGAAGGGCAAGGTGGAGGAGACCCCCCCGAGGGCCACCATGAGTGACAGACATCAGGTGGCTTTTTGGAGGAGCCCTGGCACCACCCCCCTACCCTGTGAGCCAGGGGGCCACTGGCCCAGGGGCTTTGGCTAGGGGAGAGGGAGGAAGGAGAGGGCACAGAGGACTTACCAATGAACGCGATGGCCTCTGGGAAGAACTGAGACAAGTTCTGGCTCCAGTGGTCCGAGATGGGGATCTGCTTGTAGTGAAAGTCACCGTTCTTCTCAAAGAGGTTAGGGAGGTTTGGGGTGACATTGAGGATGTAGCGGATGCCTAGCTTGGCAAGGCTCTCCAAGTTGGCTGAATCCCGGGCACTGCCCAGGTAGAGGTTGGGCAGGATCTGCACCGGGAAGGATGGCAGTAGCCCAGTTGGAGGGGGTGTGGCGCCCTCTGAATCCAGGCCACAGCTCATGGAGTCACGGTCAGCCTCAGATTCTGCGTCGGAACAGTCGGAGCCCAGGCACAGACCGCCCAGTCCTATCACAGGCACTGGACTGGGCACTGGGGCCAGGCTGGAGCCAGCACAGCCATTGAGGCTAGTCTCACACAGGTGCGGGCACTCAGCCTGGAACCTGCTGAAGCCACCTATGGGGGGGGAACGAGGAGATTCCTTGTTAACCTAGACTCCTAGGCAGCCAAGAGCGCCTGGCTGGGGATAGGGAGCTGCTCCTACAACCTGGGGTGGGGATAGGGGTGCATATGTTCCCAAGGGCACATACAAGCCAGCAGCTTCACCCGTCCTGAGGACCAGTGTGCTGTGCTGGAGACACTCGCGCCCCCCCCCCCCCCCACAGCCCCACTGGTTGTTCCTCCCAATGGCCGAGTATCCAACACAGTTGCTGGGCCCAAGCGGAGCCATGCAGGAGGATCTTAGAGCCCCAGTGCCAGATGGAGGCAAATGCAAGGGCTCCACCTCCGTGGAAGGTTCGGATGTCAGTTCTCTGCCTGAGGATCTCCCCATGTGGTATGGCTACAAGTGCTAGCTCTAGCTCGGATGGGTGAAGTGGGGTGGGTTCCAGGAAGCAGGGAACTGGGAAGAGCCCCCAGCATTCCATTTGATGACTTCCAATGTCCCCAGAAGTCTTCATCATGCTTCATCTACAGATTTGATTTTTTCTCCTCGGTTGGGGTTGGAAACCTGATGCTTTTTATATTATCCATCCCCGTCAGCTTTGTTGTTGAACAACAAATCAGGAGGTGGGGGGAGCTGGCTCTGTAGATTCAGGGGAAGCTCCAGCAGTGCTAGGCTTCTGGGAAGGTCCAAGAGCCAACAAGGCCACAAGCAGCCTGTCTCCCCTCACTCCAACCTGGCTCTGTCTGCCGTGGGAGGAGGCTGGGCTCCTGGGCTCTGCTATCTCCAGCCTGCAATGCTTCTCCAGGATTCTCTGTCCTCCCACCCCCAAGCACCTGGGGTTCCCCCTCTAGTGGTCTGGTCCCTGAAGCAGGGCACATCTGGGGGAGACTGTGGTGGATCACTTGCTACTTTGTTGTTGAGCATACTGACAATTAGGTCAGGCCGGGCCAATCCCCGCCCCACCCCCTACTCAGAAACTGGCCAGAAAGGGTGAAGGGCTTGCCTGACAGCTCCTGCACAAAATAAAATGGAGCTGGCCCAAGGGCAAATAAATTGGGACTACCCTCCCTCGCCCCTCCCCCCAAGCCAGGGCCTTGCTCTCCAGGTGAGGGACCTCCCCAGGCCTGCCCATCCTGCCTGCACCTACCCTGTAGATAGTAGGCCAGGTAGCCTTCCTCCCGCAGCTTCTGGAGGAGGGTGCCCAGCACCGACTCGGCCTCCCACTCATCAGCCTCGGCCTCGGCCTCTCCGCGCCGGCGACGGCCTCCTCCCTGGTCATACAGCAGCACCGGGGCAGGTGGGGGCGGCTGCAGCGGTGGCCCAGGCAGGAGCGCGCGCACGGACAGACTTCCCTTCCTTAGGCGGCGCAGCAGCAGCGCGGGCAGGGCCACGCTGAGCGCCCCGCCGATGCGCGCCGACTCGTATAGCTCCCGGCTGCGGCAGTCCAGGAGCAGCAGCCTGGGCCGTGGGGGCGCCAGCTCCTGGCGCAGCCACAGGCACGAGCGGCCCAGGCTCTCCATGGGCGCGCGGCTTTCTGCACGTCGGGCAGCGGGGACTGCGAAGAGAGGGGAGGGGTGGCGTGAGCGGGGGGTGTCCGTGGCTGGCCACTTTCGGGGCGCCGGCGAGGGGAAACACAGCCTCATATCCTGAAGGCGGGACACACTGCTGTCCACTCCTCTCCTCGCGCCCCAAGCGACACGATGGGCTACTGAGGTGCCCCAAGAAAACGGCGGCGCGACGCGCAGCCACTTGGGCGCCAGACACTCCTCCCGGTCTCCTGTTAAAAAAGCACGAGCACCCCCCCCCCAAGAGATCTGGGTGTTTAACGGCCCCTTCCGTCAAAGCTCTTCCTGGGGGGGCGCTCCGGGACCCAAAGCACTTTCCTTCACACCCCTCTTTCTAGGTCTCACACTCGGCCTGCCGATACTCACTCCCCAAGTTAGACTTTGGGATGTATAAGTGCGAGGAAATGTGGTTCAAGGCCTAAATCTCCCCCACTCCCAGGAGGACTTGGGGGATAAAAAGGTGGCCGAGGTGATGGGACCCGCTCTCCCCCCCCCCCCCCCCGCCCCGCGCCCCAGGAGAGAACAAAAGGAGAGACCTGGATCGCGATCCGGCGGCAGGCGTTCGCGCGTGGACGTCCTGGCCCCGGCTTCTGCCACAGCAGGGAGCGGAGCACCGTCCGGGGACCGCGAGTCCCCGAGCCCAGGCGCCCGGGGAGAGGGCGGGGCGGCGGAGCGGGCTCGCACGTGGAAGCCAAGCCGTTCGCGCGCCGGCTGCTTCCAGGCAGCGGGACCCAGCTTCCACCTAGGAAGCCTCGGTCTTAGGACGTGGAGTAGCCGTTCCGAGGGGCGGGCCTGGGCGGGGCGGGGGGGCGGGCTCAGGGGGGCCGGCGAGCCAACGGGGTGCGAGCGATTGAAGTCTAGTGGGATCTGCAAGTGGCAGGCTGAGCTGGGGTTTCCACCCAGGCAGGACGGGGTCGGGGCAGAGGCCAAGGGCAGGTCGGGGGCCCAGCAGGGAAGCAGTTGCTGCTCCCCTGGCCGGCGCCAGCCTGGTCTTGAAGACAGGGGGGAGGGGCGAGGACAAAAGCCCAGTGCCCCTGCCCCAGAAGCTGCCTCCCACAACTCAACCTGGCCTATCCCCACCCGGAACCTCAGTGGCCCCATCTGTAGATCGGACCAAACAGAGCCACCACACTGGTTGCCACCGACATGCCAGACATCCCAGAGGAGGAAAACAACTAGAAACCTCTACTGCCTCCCCCTTCAGAACTCTGCCAAAGACCTAGAGGGCTAGGCCAGCATAGGGGCTTTCCCTGCACACCTTCCCTCCAGCTACACACCCTCCCACAGGAGCTCTGATCACCCTAAATTGGACTCCTTCACTCACATTATGAATCCCAGGACTCTCCCTGGCTCTGCCCCTTGCCCCCTTCCTTGACCCTCTGGATGGTTCAATCTGGAGGAAAGCAGTTTCCACCGACTTCTCTCCATCCTTGCGCAATCCTCGGTCTACTGTACAGGTCACAGGCTCACATTCTTCCATTTTTGAAGTGTTCTCCCTGTCTATGGACCTGTGTGTAGCAATGTACCCCTTACCTGCCCTGCTCTGAGCGGGGAACCATTCATTCAACAAACACATTCATTCAACAAACACAGATGGAGCCACAGGGATCCCACACTGGCCTGGTGCGCTCACGCTGGCGGGACAGACCAACAATAAGCAAAGGCACTGAACAAGATATCGGAGGTGATAAGTGCTGAGACAATGAAAAGAGAGGTAGAGGGAGGTTGTAAAAAAAGATCTGGCTATGTGTCTCTTCCCTGCTTTAAGCTCAAGAAAAGCAAATAACAGTGTTGAAGGAAAACAACAGATAAGATAAAGCTCATACAAAATAATCAAAAGGTTAAGACCCCAGTAGATAAATGGGCAAAGAACTAAAAAAGACTGCATACTCCACGAAGGAAGGAATGTAATGGGGGGAAAATACTATGTGGGGGAAGGTTCATTCCCAGGCATGAAAGAAAGGCAACTCAGAAAACAAGATGACAGTAAGAACAAGGTAGCACTTCCTACTTGCTACTTTAGTAAAATGTCCTCAAAATGAGAATGCCCAAGGTTCCTCCTGCTTGAACATTCACTATGGGTTAGGTCCTTTCAGAAATTACGCTGGCAGTGGGCATCAATCACTAGACAGAAAAAAAAATCCATACCTTTGGTTACTTCTAGAAATCTATTCTAAGTAGCTAAAGTGAAGACAAAAGAGAGGCACATGGTGATGGTATCACGCTAAACCTTTTTCTAAGGAGTGAAAATGGAAAACCACCCAGAAGTGCAACTTTAACATCAGAGTCGACTGTCAGTATGGAGAAGACACAAAGCTTTCTTCCTATGCTGCCTGCCTAGGTTTTGCCCATCTCCAACCCTGCTTCCAGACTCCTGCACAAGCCCATAGTCTCCCTTCTGTGTGCTCCAGTGGCCTCAAGAGAACTCAGGCTGTTTGGCCTGCTTCTCTTCCTCAGTGTGCACCTTCTTCTAACCTCAGCCTTGCCTCATACCCTAGCTCCAGTGTTAGAAGCAGACACTAGCTGTCATCTGGCCATGGGTACCCAGCCTCGGGACTGCCTCTGAACTCCACTATAGCTGTGGGTGAGACCTTGGGGTGGACAAGAATCGCAGTCAGATGCTGCCAGTGTGCCACCTTGCAGAGCAGGACCAGGACTTGGCTAGATTGTGTGTGTGTGTGTGTGTGTGTGTGTGATGGGGGTGCAGGCTGGGAGCATCAGGGAATTGTGAGGCACTAGCCCAGCCACTCTGTTATGGAGCTATTCTCAGTGTGCTCGAAAAGAGGATCACCAACCCGAAGGAAATTGGGCTCCTGGGGTGTCCAGCTGTGCTCCCTTGAGACAAGAGGTGGGCTGTGGACAGCGATGCCAAGGCAGGACACTTCTGCCATGGTGAAGGGAAAGGAAGCCTAGGCTCCAAGTCTGGTGACAACTGAAGAGTACCCCTGTACCTTGCTTTACACCCCTGTTGGCTAGCCCCTTGTCCCCCCACCGGGAGAAAGCGTGAGGCAGTGAGGGGGTGCGGGGTGCTTCATCTCCAAATCTCAGTGTGTCTGCAGCGCCGGCAGCGCCAGCAACAGGACAAATGGGAACCTGTTGCCACCTCCGCACTGCAGGGCTCAGTGCAGCCAAGCCCCCGCCCCCAGGGCCCCCTGCAGCGCCGGCTCTGGGCGTTGGCCCCGCCCCGCGACGGTTCGGGGCGGGCGGGGGGGGGGAGGCAGCCGCGCGCCAGGGACCTCGTTTGCCGCCCCTCACCCCCCAGCGGGCGGAGCCAAGGCGTCGTGCTCCGGACTCGCCGCAGGGTGGGAGCTGCGCCCACTGTCGCCCCCGCCGGGCGCCCCAGGCCTCCAAGCGTCCCAGCCATCGTCTCCCCCTTCTCCCCCGCCGCAGGCCCGGCGCGCGCCGCGCGTGCTGGTTGGTCCTGGGAGCCTCCCGAGAGCAGCGCCCCGCCTTCCCCCTTGAAATCCATGCTTCCCGCCTGGTCGAGGGACAGGATAGGGGCTGTTGAGGCCCTGTCACACGGATAGGAGCTTAACTCCCTGAGACCGCGTTCCTGCCAAATCCAGCGTCTTTGCCATCAAATCCACTTTCCGCTGGGAATGGCTTTCTGCTTTTCCTGGTCGGGCTCCTTGCGGGACTGGGAGTTCGTCCAAGGCAGGAACGGGTGTGTGCCCGCCTCATCCCAGCCCCCCGGTGCAGGGCCTGGTATGCGCCTGGGCGCTCACGGAAGAAATGCTCGTTAACAAAGAAGGCATGAATGAATGAAACTAATTGTTGTCTGGGGGAGTCCAGAAGGGTGCTGCTTCTGCTTTTCGTTCTGCCGATTACACACTCCTCCCAGACACGCACGTGCACACGTGCACACACGGCCCTTCCCACAGCACAGGCCCACAGGACACAAACAGCGCAAGCCGACTCCAGCCCTTACAACCGCCCTCTATGCGCGTCCGGGTTGTGTTGCTGGCACTTTTCCATTTCGGTGCCTGACCCTCTCTGCTCCCACCTCCGCCCCCTTTACCACCACATCTAGGTACCATACCTTGGGACCCAAGTGTCTTCTTTATCTCTTAGAAGAGGTCAAATCAGTCCCCAGGGCGTCTAGGAGTCTGTTTAGGGAGGCACCTGGCGAGCCCCAGGCTGGCGAGCCGCTGCCTGGCAGGGATGCCACCAAAATGCTGCAGCCTGTAGAGTCCGTGTGCCAGGTGTTTGGAGGGGGGGGGGGGAGGAGAGCTGTGGGAGGGACACAGCGATGTGGTGTGTGTGTGGGGGTGTTTAGGGCTATTTGCGATGGGGGCGGGGCAGCATGCTGGAGAGCGGGCGAGCAAGCAGGTGTTTGTGTGTGTGAGAGTGTTGGTGGGGAGGCTGGAGGTGTCCGCCAGGGGATCGGGAGTGTCGGCGACCGGGGTGTGTGTGTGTGTGTTGGAGTGGGTGGCTGCAGAGGCTTTGGGCTGGGAACGTGGGTGGGGTGTCTGTTATGGACATATGGGAAGTTTGATTCGGCGAGGGCATAGTGTGGGGGAGCACTGAGCGCCGATAGCATCGCACGGATGTGTTGGCAACGTGTGCGCGCCTAGGTGTGCGCTGGGGCGTGGCAGGGTCTGGGACGAGTGTTGGCTTAAGTTGGGGTCAGGGGTGAGTGATGGGTCCGGGGCTGCTTGTGTGTGCATGGAACAGGGCTCTGGGTCCGTGTTGTGTGGCTTGTGCGCGCGCAATTGAGCAGCTGGTGCAAGTGGCAGGGGACGTAGAAAGCGCACGGGGAGGGGGGTGGTAGTGGGGTCCAAAGGGTCTCGCACGGGTGGGCGCTTCAGGCCCCGGGGTGGGGTATGTGCGTTGGCAGGACTTTGGGAGTGCAGGCTGGAGGAACGCACGGGTGCGGGGCAATCAGGCAGGGTGGGGGTGGGGTGGGAGCCCCGGGGAGCCGCGTGCTCTGCTCACCTCGGCTGGGAGGCTCAGCTTCTGGCCCGGGCTCCGTGCGTGGCGATCGGGAAGTTTCCGTAGCTCAAGCAGCGGGAAGAGCCACTGTCACCGTCAAACGCCAGCAGAGCCCCAGGCGGCGGCCTCGCCTGGAGCTTCGGGCCGCCACCGCCGCTGCCGCTACTGCTGCGGAGGGAAACTCCAAATCCCGCCTCCGCCTCCGCCCCCGCCGCCGCCGCCTCCGCCACCGCCACCGCCACCGCCACCACCGCCGCCTCCGCCGCCGCCGCCTCCTCCCCTCCCGTCGCGGTCTTCTCCGCCCCCTGCCCAGGAGGGGCAACGTCGCCAGCGGCGCACCAGGAGGGAGCGGGGAGGGGCCTCGGCCTGCGCGGCGTCTCCCTCCTCCTCTCACGCCCCCTCCGCCTTCCCCCCACCTGCCAGCCTCTGCTCGACGCGCCTTACGACCCCCAGCCCCCAACAGCGCTGTTGCATGGAGGAGGGGGGGGCCTCGAGCTTGGACCCTTGAGTGGACTGACCTAGGCTGGGTCTGGCTTGGGGCGCGGGGGATGGGGGCTGCGCTGCAGAGCTACACTGGCATTTCTGCAGCCGGTAGAAGTGAAGGGACCCATCCAGGACGGGCACAGCCGTGTCTTTCAGGGCCACCTCCTGTTCCTACAGTGGAGTGCGTACAAGGTCCAACTGACAGCACAGAGGGGCCCCACCCCACCCCAAATTCTCCTGAACGGTCGTCTGCAGATTTGGTCTGATAGGAATAAGTTGTGAGCCTCAGTGCCTGGAACGGGTGGGGCCAGG